GCTGACACAGCTCACGAATCTCACCTTTTACTTTTTTTCCCGTTTGAGCATTCACTCCTGCCAACCACGGCAGCACCGGAAGCTTAAACTTTCAAGGATGCGTAAAAATAATCCTCACAGCCGCTGAGCCACGACTGACCAGCTGCCCAGCTCTTCCCTCTGCAGGGCCACAAGCTTGCCGAGGACAGCCTGCGTGGAGTACATTACAGCCATCCAGCTCAAACCTTTTACGACTAGCTCTCATCTCATCAAAGTAACTCTTTGCAACTAATTCACGCAGGGTCATTGCATCTCCAAAGGAGCGCTCCGGACTGAGTCAGACTGAGACAGAGCCTATCCTGTCCAGCAATGGCAGCAGCGCCAAGGGCCCCGTCTCCTACGCCAGTGCTATGCTTGGTGGACAGCACCTTCCAGCATCTCCTCTACAACAGCGAGACCCAGTTGCACCAGAGCTATGGCGTGAGGACCCTTGCTTCGGGCTACGCTGTCATATGTCCAGGAGCCACGCTGACCTCGCGCTACACAGGGCAAGGTAAGACCTGCCCCAGCATCTTGGAAGCCCTGGTGACAGCGGCAGGCCAGACCTTGGTAAAATCAGCATATCCGGACGGATCCATCCGACTTCCCAAGGCCTTCATGATGTCGGAGGGGGACAACAAAGCCGCCTGTGAGGGACTGGCGACCTTCCTGAACAAGCACCACAACCATCGGATCAACCTGGGCCTGATACCGATCGAAAGATCTCTCCGACCGGAAAAGCAGGTGAACTACGACTGGATTGGGCAGTATCGCACAGATTTCCAGCTGCGCTCCCATGAGGTCCCGTTCCACATCATGGATCTCGACAACGAAAACTTGCAGCTCTACACCACCAGATCAGTGCACTTTCGGCCGGAAATAGCGCTAGAAGCAATCTGCCAGGTGGTGGCAGCGGCCCTCCAAGCTATGGATGCGAAGACGACCCCCCAACCAGGAGCACGCCCTAGCATCCACGTCCTGCTATGCTGCTCCTGGAATACCGTGAAGAACACAGTGCACAAGGAAATGCTGGCCACCCGTGCACTGACTCGGGCAGACACTCTCAGTGCACTGCTTGCTGAGGCGGCCCAACATGCAGGAGAAAGCGCCGCGATAGTATATGCGCTAGGCGGCCACTACCTGACAGCTCAACCTCCTCTCCGAGTCTTCCAGACCTACGTGCACGACTCACAACCTGGTCCTCACGAGATGATGGAGGAATGCTTCCCAAACATCCCGAGGGAATTCTTTGACGACGCCAAGCAGGTCGAGATCATGAAGGAGCTGTCTGGCATGGTAGGGCACTGCCTTTACCACTCACTGACCAACGCAGCGCACCGCGCTGACGTCTGGCGGTACACAGAGCACTGGCTTCGGGGAGGGATGTACATTGACATCAAAACGCGCTTTGTAGTGACGTACCGGACCCTCATCTCTTGCATCATGAATGAGTGGACATCCACGCTCTCGAGGCAGGCACAGCACAAATACGGCTGGATCAACCCAGCCACTGGTCCGCCAGACTACTTCCTCACCGCCATCGGAGCTAAGAAGGACCACATCTTCCAGGGCATCTTGCTGGGACGACGCCGTCACCCATTAATGACGTCCGCACTCCACCACTGCTTAGCCAATGACTTTGTGCGACGCGAGCACACCCCATCCTACATGACCTTCTGCAAGGTCCTTTTCAAGGTCATCAAGGACGACCTCGGACTTGCGCCCACGGACCAGCTGACACCCGGATGGCATCTTTGTCCTCGTCTGGGCCCAATCTACCTTCTGCAAGAAGAGATGAGCACAGAACTCCGCCAGAACGGTCCATACAGAAATGATGGGCACTTCTTCACAACAAAGACGGGGAAAAGGGTGGCCTTGACTAGATGCTGGCAATGGCGACATGGATGGAAGAACGACCCGGGCACCCAGCAGGCACAGGAAAATGGCATTCTACGCAACTTGCCCACTGCAGGAGGGCCACCAAACCCGTACCCCGGACACTGTCCGGGGCGACGCGGTATCTGCCTCGTCCCAGATACCGACGGAAGCTAATGCAGTGCTTCTCGGTACCCGCCATCCTCCACCAGAGCCTGGAATGCCCACCCAGGAAATCTCAGCGGACAAGCCGACGGTGACCCTGATCACAGCCCATGTCACTGAGGCCATGGAGACCAACCTCCTCCAGAAGATTATGCAACAGATCGAGGCCTTTCCACAATACTACGGCACCCTTGAATTGCGAGATGTTCAGGCTCTGATCCCGCGCGGCCTCAGCATCAACCCGGACACCCTCTACCTCCAATGTGCGTTCTGCAGGAACAAACACGGAAAAAACATCTCCTTCTCCAACGACGCGGGCATCAAGCAGCATTTCGCCAGGCAGGGGTGGCATGCCAACTCGGCCATCAAATTCAGCGCAGCCCTGGACCACAAGACGGAGGCAGAGTTCACTCAGTCTACTCCAGAAAATCAATCACCAGAGGTCTTCCAGAACACTGTTCGGGCAAAACCCGAGGGCACTGCCCTAGCGGCTTCGTCCAGCAGCAGCGCCGGCACTCAACGTCCTCCCGAGCCAACAGGACCACCGCCTGGAAGGGATGCCACAGCATATCCTGACCATCCTCGTACGGCAACGATGTCACCACCAGAACCCCAAGCTCCGCCGACCAATGCTCCACCGGAGCCTCCTCAGGTCTCTCCTCCAGTTGAACAAGAACGGCCGTACGAATCAGCCGGAGTGCCTCCTCCTCCACCACAACGGCCACTCACCATGCAGGAGCAATGCAGCGATCAGGGCTTCCAAGAATGGGTTAAGACGGCCAGCGAGGTCCAGGTCATCACAAATCCTCAGGTGATGGGCCTTTTGACAGCAGGGGAATGGGCAAAAATCTGGCAACGCAGACTAGATATCTTGCGTGAACCTCCCAGAGTCATGCAGAGTCTGCACCGAGCACAGACAGCAACGGGGCTCACATGGCAGGTTCTTATGACTGCCAAAGTCACCATCGGGCCTACAGGAGCGGTCACAATTTCCACCCTCCGTGAGGGACACTGGGTAGATGGATTCACCGACCCGCTGGATAGGCGGGCTTCACGCCATCATCAAGGCAGCGGTTCAGGAAGGCTTCAAAATTCACACGGACCAAGATGCTGAAGACCACACCATATTTGCGGCTACCTTCTCCACCATCTACGACCTCACCTCCAAGCGAGTTAATGGGACGGCAAAGGTCTCCTACCACATCAAGCAGGGACCACAGCGAGAAGCTCATTTCAGCATCAAGCACAACGACTGGACGAAAAACCCGTCCAGCAGAGCCGCGCAGCCTGCACAACCTCGCGGTCTTCGAAGGCCCAGAGAAGAAGCCGGCGAAGACAGCCAATCCCAATGGGACAAAAGATCCGGATGGTCCTGGAAAGGCCACGATTACTAGAAGCGGGCACCTCCAATTCGCAAGGTTTGCACGGCAAGCTCCAGTTAAAGGACACTGTCCTAAATGCTGAGCCAACAGCAGCGCTGCTATGATGCCAACAAGTTTCTCCATCCTCTTTTGCCTTCATTGGCCGCCTGATACGGCCGAAAGGACAGAAAAACCCCTGCAAGCCTGCGGACTATATAAGTTGTTCATGCCAACTGCTCACAGTCCTCTCCTCACCTCTGACAAATTTCAGTCAACCCACCTCATTAAGCAGAGTCTGCCGTTTCTCATCACTGTGTTGCAGGCAAATAGCCAAGCTAAGCAATGCTACCAAGGTCCGCGTTGCTCCATGATGGAGTACCCAACGAAGGCAAGCCCAGAAGCAAGACAGAGTGCTTTCAGGACAAGCAGCATGATCTAAACAGCCACTAACCGCTCTAAAGACGACCGTCCTCCTAGCCTCAAGCAGCCACACTTCACTAGTCTCGGCTACAAGTCACACGAGGCTGGCCCCATTCTTCAGTATCGCTCGTTACCACAGGGGTGTGCTTCTGTGCCGGACTCGTTCTTGAGACGAGGTGCAGCTCAGTGGCTAGAATAGCTGCCGAAACAAACACAACTCGGCAAAGAAATTTACCACTCAGTAATGGGCTCTGCGGCTGGCCTCACTTCGTGAGGTGCGGATACCGGAATTGCCGCCTGGCGCGATTCACCCCGGCGGACCGCCGGGCAAGTCTTGAGCCTGGAGCAGCGTAGCCCTTCAACAAGCGAGACCGGGTCTGCTCAAGCATAATCCGAGTGTGTTCGCACGCTAAACACTCTGCCAATGTACCAGACACAACAGGTGCATCAACAAACAATGCTTAATAGCTTGTTGCCTTGGCTCAATTTCTCTGTTCTCAGTGAAAGTCTCTAACTTCTTCCGAATGGCTCCGAAACGCCATTGTCGCACGGAGCCTGACGCCATGCTAGCGATGGCAGAGCGAAAAGTCTTGACACCGTTCAAGAGCTTCCAAAGGTTCTCCAAAACGTTGGTTCCAGTCAAAGCTACCCAAGCTTCAACTAAGCAAGCAAAGCTGGCACTCGGACACTTTCTTCTCACTCTCGCCTTGAGCCAAACAAGTCCAGTTCTTCTGAGCTCATGCTGCTGGCAAGAAACTGTACGTGAGTCCTACTTCACAGACAACCAAAAGGCAAGGTCATGCAAACGTTCCCCTCAGAGTCTTCTGCATACTAAGCGCAACCAAGTGCATCTCAGGACACACTCAAAGGTCCAGGTGCTTCACACCTTATTCTCATCACTGAGGAACTTCTCGACCAAGCTCAAATTCGCAAAGCTCAAGGTAAAAACTCAAGCATGCTCCAAAACACTCATGCTCACAAAACATGTTCTCCACATGTCTTCGACATGCATCCAAACATGCCAGTGCAACTCAACAACAAAACTCCTGCAAGGTTCTTCTCGAAACTGAGTGTGTGCCGCTTCTGTTCGTCAAAAACCGAAAACAAGAAAAACCAACCACCAAGCAAACGAAGTCTCGGCTCCATTGGTGATGAAATTCTTTACCCCCTCTTGGAGGCGAGCGTACGAAGTTTGCGTTGGCAATCCCGGCAGACCACGTATGTCTTCTTGTCCCGAAAACGCAGATGTCCACAAGACTCATCCACGTGGGCCACTTCACTCTTTGCAATGAAGTACACATTCGGAATTTCAAAGGCAACTGTCCGCGGTTTGCTCGGGCTCTTGTCTGAAGCACTCGCGTGACTGCTACTGTTGACGAGGTGACCATCACGGTTCTTCCCATCATAGTAACAGTTACAACAGCGGCAACACATGTGGACTGCAACATTCACAAGGATGCTCACAGTAAGGAAGACTCCGAAGAGGAGGATCTCCACTGTGTAGTCAGTCTCACTCATTGCTTCGCAGGAAATTAAGAAAACGAAAAGAACAACACCCCCTCTCGGCAAAGCGGCTGAGGGTGCGGGCGAGAGCTCATGGCAAGCACGCAACCAATCGTCTGCACAAGTCAAGCGGATAGTGTTGAGTGCTCTTAAGGTCGAAATCGGCACTGTGGGGATGGTCCTTTGTGCATGCAAATGTCTGGAGGGTCTCGCAGAGAACCTTAAGGTCTGTATCAACTCTCCACTGCTTCTTCACAAGCAAGTTGTCTCGTCCTCTCATCCCTACTGCACAACCATGCACTATGGAGGTCATGAGAGTCCTGTGGTGGTCGAATCCAAACTTCTTGGTGGTCCTCCAATGCCAGTACTGACAGGTCTTCGGCCACTCGATCGCAACGAACGGATTCAAACATCCCACAGGCATGTCTTCAACCGGCTTGCAGATAACCTCAAAGTTCTTCCACAACTTTCTCTGTACGCCCCAAACTTTCTTCAAGTAATCTCCATGCCCAGGCCGCTCCAAATGCGTAAACTGCCAAAGACATCCACCAGTGCACGGTGTGGATGACCAAATCAACACGTTTACGCCCAACCGACACAAGCGCTCAACGTGTGTTCTCACAATGGCAATCGTCTCATCCAACACTCCGTTCTCACGCTCCGTGATTCTAACCAACTTCACGCTTCCAAGCTCAAGCGCTGCAATGCCAAGATTCGAGTTTTCACTCGTACAAAACTCGACAATCAACCAATGAGCTTCCGCACTCACCGCACTCAAGTTCTGTTCCAGCTCCAAGAGAACTGGAAGATCAGGGCTCTTCCCGAGCATGCGGCACAACTGGGCGCAATCCCAGTCCTCCAACGCCAACAAACCCATGGTGGCTGGCGGAAGTCGCTCAACGATTCCCAACATGTTCAGGTGTCTCTCGTAACTGACCTTTTGGATCGTACTCTTTGTAAAAATGTCTGAGACATTCTCCAAGCCAGACACCCACTCAAGCTTAGCGCGGCCCTCACGCAGCGCTTCTTGTACCCAGCACAACCTGATGTCTATATGCCTGACTCTCCTGAGGAGTCCGAACATAGAACTGATGTTAATGGCTGCCTGTGAGTCCGAGCGAACAACCGGCGTTTCAACATCTTTCCCAAAGACGTGTCTCACCATGACGCACAATCCCAAGGCCTCTTTCATTCCCTCGCAGATAGCGGTTAACTCCGCTTCCGCGCTGGACAGCGCAATTGAAGTCTGCTGCCTGGTGTAAGCCTTCACCGGGGCCCCGTCGAGAAACAACACGCCTCCAGACAACGACCGCCGAGAGTTATTTCTCTCAGACGCCCAGTTGCTATCAACGTACACAACGATGGTCCCAGCGTCTCCATCACAACTGAGAAGCTGCTCATGGTGCTCAACCGACATCAAGTACCTCAAGAACGCTCGCAGGCACATCTCATGGACAGCTAGGGGCTGCGACTGGCCCCTGCTCAACACACTGATGAAGTACGTCAAGTCAATCCGTGTCTGGGCGCCCCAGGCGACCTTGCCGACTGCGCTCCTATACTTCGCACTAGCTTCTGCACTCAAAGGCTGTTGTTGGGACTCCATTCCATCATCCAGAATCTTCCTCAAGTCCGGGGGAACCAGACTCGGCTTCCGGATGCCATAGGCTTCATATGTCGAGTGGAAATACCCCACAGGGAGGCCAACAAGGATTCCATCCGTCTCACTGTCTCTCCGGATGGTCCTGCCAAGGAATTCAACTTTCTTGTCTCTGGACAGGATTCCAGTGACTTTAATCTTGACCTGCTTGGCTAGACATTCAACAAAGTGCTTCGCTGCTGGCAGGAAACGACAACCAACCATGAGATCATCAACATACGCAAGGAGGACCATGTAGTAATGTGTTCCATCAAACAAAAACCATCCAGCAAAGACGGTCTTTCAAGATCCACCAAACATCATGCTCACTCTCTCCTTCCCCTCTCTCAGTCTCTTCACCCTCATCTCCCAAGCTTGCAAGCACTTCAACCAAGTCACAAAGATCAACCATGCAACGCTCGTTTCTCTTTTCGGTTCCAGTAGAGCACAAGGCCTCCCAAGCAGCCTTAATGCCTGGTTTCTGAGGTGAAAACGTGTCTCTGTTCACGGCACCGGCGGGGGCTTTGGTAGCCCTGAGGGCCAAGACCTGTTCTCGGGCCTTCGGCTGGGAACAGGCGGAGGTGGAGGCGGATTCCACAGCTCTTCCCTGATCGGCTCCGGCGGTGGCGGTGCAGGGCATCTCGTTGAGCGCTCCGTCCTTGCCACCAGGTGCACCGTCGACGAGCTGCTCGTGGCTTGCTCCTTCTTCTGCTTGCTTCCTCGCTTCACGCTGCCCTTCCAGGTCTTTGCCGGCATTGCCTTCACTTGTGGTCTCTTCTTCGGCATCGCCTTGACTGTGGGTCTCAAGACCTTTGGCATGGCTTTCGTAGCTGGCTTCGGCTTGGGGTCCGCCTTCCAGGCTTCGAAACTCCTCGCCATGCGCTCCACGCCCTCCACCGCGATCTCGGCCGCAGCTGCGACCTGTGTTCTCAGATCCTCCAGCCTGGCCATCTCCACATCGTGGATCTCGCCCTCGCTCACCACGCTCCAGGCCTTCGCAGCTGGCTCCTCTGAGCTCACGTCGCAGACATCCGAAACCTTCTGGGGCTCGCTGCTGTCCGCTTCCTGCTTCTCCGAGGCCTTCTGGGGCACGTTCTTCTCGTCCTGGTCCTCGGAGGCCTTCTGGTGGTCCCCGTGGTTCTCCTCCTCGGAGCTGGAGCTGAGCGGCACCCGCGACCCCATGCGGTCTTCGAGTGGTCTCAAGAGACCGTGTCACCAGCCAACCAACGTTGCTAAACCAACAAGTGTACAGCTGACAACGACTGCGGCGCACACTCAAACCCTCAGAATTGATATTTATCGTCCAACCTTTGGTTGCAAGGGAACCTAAGGAAAGCAAACTGTGCTCGCACTCTGTCACAAGACCACGCAGCTCAGCACACACAAGCCTACCTTCTACTGTCAAAAATTGGGCTCTTACTGTTACTCTACGGTTCAGGCTCAGCACTTCACCAGACGCCAAAGAACAGCGCACCTGGTACTCATCCTCAGCGACCACGGCGACGTGGCCACTATCAAGCAGCCGCTGCGCAATCAAGTGAATGCTTGCTCCACTGTCTGCCAACCAAAGATGATCACACAAGCTCTGGTCTTCAGGGTTCTCTGTTCTTCGAACTGCACGACTAAACACGCTGTTCACGACCATGCTTTCGGGAACTTGGGTCCATGCAAAGCGCAAAACCAACCATGATCATCCCCGTGTTCTTCGTGTCGTTCAAGCCCATGCAAAACATCAAGACAATCATGCCGCTCAAGAAAAACTTCTTCGCCATGCTGGAGACAACCATGTTCTTCAGAAAAACCATGCCCTTCGGGAAAACCATGCTCTTCAGGAAAACCATGTTCTTCGGGAAAACCATGCTCTTCAGGAAAACCATGTTCTTCGGGAAAAACGTCACGCGGAAGTTGCAAAACTGGTCGCTCAGGTAGCACTTCCACCAAGCCCATCGTCACACTTGGCTTCGGCGCCCCCTTTGCTTTAGGCTGGCCAGATGCACCCGAAGGCTTGTCTTTCCGTGGTTCTGGGCAATCTCGAGCAAAGTGCCCCGGCTGCCCGCAGTTGAAACATTTCCCCTTCTTTCCCTCGCTCTGGGCTTTCGGCTTGTCGTCTCTTTTTCCTTTGCCTCGACCAGCACCCTTCTCTGAGGTGCCCTCGTTCTTGCCGCCTTTCTTCCCTTTCCCTTTGCCCTTCTTGCCTTTGCCCTTGTTGAAAGCTGCAATCAACTCTTCAGTCCAAGCGCTCTTCGACGAATGCTTGTGGCCTTCCTTGTCATGCTCGATCACACGCAGATGAGAGTCGTAAAACTTGATGCTCTCCAGGATCTCATTCAGCGTGTCGCTCTTTCCATGCAACAAAACGTAATGCTTGCAGGACTCGGGCATGCACTTCAAGTGAAGCATCATCTTGTCAGGTTCTGTCAAACGAAGACTGCTGTAGCCACTAAGATTTCTATCCGCCTTCAAGAGCTCGGACTCTACTGCTCTGTAGACGTCCAAGGGCCGCACCACATGCTTCCCTGGGCGAAATTGCAAAACAGCTTCACGAAGAGATGTTGCTTCAATTCTCGACTGAACTCCAAACTCCGTGTTCAGTCTCCAAAAGGCTTCGTACCCACATGCTGCTCCAAGCTGTGACTGTTCAGCTTGTCGAACGATGTCTCAAGCTCGTTGGAAATCACCCAAAGACTGACGCAGCAAGTGAAGAAATCTCGCAGACCTCGCCGCAGGTCCCTTCTCCAAACTGCTCTGTTGAATCTCGGTGGGGGTGATCATCGCTCGGTACAACTCAGTGGGGTAAAAGTCGTCAAGCAAAGACAACCAAGACATGACTCCCTCAAACGTACTGCGACCAAAAACTGATCTCTGAAGTTCGAGTCGTCATCTTCTGGTACTCAAGCATAAGGATCTTGGGAATGTAGCTCTCTGCTTTGGAGTGTCTGACTCCACCAGTGTCCTTGTCCACTTCCATAGGTTCTGGGCCCGTTGAGGACGCTGCTGCTGCCATTCCGCTGCTTGTCTCAGCAGCTCGTGTCAAAGCCGCTGCTTGCATCTCTCCCAACGTCTGCACCAAACCAACCAACTGGCTAATCTGCTGCGACTGCGCCTGCACCATCTAGGTCCAGAGCAGGTGGTTGTAGAGGCATTCCTGGATTTACTTAGGCTCCTGTTGGAGCTTGTGGAGGTTGTCCAACGCTTCCTCCAGTGTAACCACTTGCCTGTCAAGTCGGAAGAGGCAGCACAAGAGACGTCACCACTTGCCGCGGTCTCCTGAGAGATGAGCTGGACTGAGCACGTCCCTGCCTCGAACACTCACAAACTAGGGCTTCTTCCAGAATGCGTGGGCGTCTCACCAGGAACTCGGCTTCTTCCTCGTGGGCTCCTTCTTCTCTCGGGAGTGCAAGCTGGAAATGTCGGACATTCACCTTCACAGCTCTGAAGCGTGGCCAACCACGCTCCGCTACCACGAAAAGTCTTGACACCGTTCTCAGGAGCCTGGACCATCTGGTGTTGGTGAGAGAATTTTCGCCAGAAGAATGTTGAATACTGTGGAGGCCACTTTCATGCGGTTGTCTTTTAGCTTGTGTTTAGCAGCCCTAAATGTTGTTCCTTGTTTACAGGAGATTTCGGAGATTTGCGTTGTTTTTGCGTTTGTTTGCTATTTTTGCAATGTACTTTTGCTTTTGTTTGCACGTAGACCTGTTTTGCTGGATTTTGTGCTGGATTGTTTTTTCAAGGTGCCTTGAGATCTGCAAGACTCTCAGAGACTTTTGCTAATTTTTGCGCCTACGGGCCATGTGTCTTCAACAGATTGCATCTGAGCCGCTGCTCGCTGAGCGCTCTCTTGCCTCAAGCAGCTCCTAGGCCACAGCTAGCGTACCTGCGCCATGTCTGCCACGTCGGAGCCTGATTTGTTGGCCGAAAAAAGTGCCCAGACGTAGTCCGTAGGGTCCATGTTTGTGCTTCCAAGGTGTCGCAAGCCCTTTGTAACTCGCTCAGCAAAGTACTCAGTGGAGGAGGTTGCCGAGGTCTTCAAGGCCGATTTTTGGCGATGCGAGAGGCTTCACATTCGTTGCGGGGCGCAGGCGCGGCCGGCCGGTGCGCGGCCGGAGGTGTTCAAGCTCATCCGTGCGCTGCTTGGTGGCCTAGCTGTGTATGGTTGTAGCAACAGCCATGCGCGGGGTCAAAGCTTTGGGTGCAAGAAACCAGTCATGCCTTCAGTCAGGTCCTTGGGTTGAGTCTAATATGAACCCTGAGGCAGGGTTTCCGTGGGTTTCCTTAGATTTCGTGCATGTGTTAAAACCTATTGGATGGTTTTGGTAGGTTCCTCAAGGGTTTCGTAAGGGTTTCCGTGGGATTTCGTGCAGTTTTTGAACTTTCCGGAGGTTTTCCTTGAATTTCTCTAAAGTTTTGTGAGGGGGTTCCGCGGATGTCCGTGGGTTTTGTCAAGTTTTGCCTTGGTTTTTTAAAAGCTTTCAGATGGTTTCCCTGGGGTTTCCTTAAGGTTTGCGGGGTTTCAGTGGGTTTTGTTAGATTTTGCGTAGGTTTTTGAAGCTCTCGGAAGGTTTTTCTAATGTCTTGTGAAGGTTACCGTGGGTTTTCCATGGTTTTTGACAGCTTTGAAGGGGTTTCCGTGGGTTTCTTAGGGCTGTGTGAGGGTTTCCGCGGGGTTTCTGTGGGTTTTCTTATATAGGTCGTGCGCAGGTCTTTGAAGCTTCCAGTTCAGCTTTGTGAGGGTTCCTGCAAAATCTCCGCGGGGTTTCGATTGGTTTTCTCATGCTTTGCACGGCTTTGGAAAAAGATGTTAGAAGCTTCAGCGAGGGTTTCCATGAGCTTCCATGGCACCATGGATTTCCTCAGCGTTACTTCAAACTTTGGAATTTGTCACATGATGCGGTCGGCGCTCGTCCAGATAGGCAAGATGCAAGCGGCGCAGTGTGTCGTGCGGCTTTGCAGCGCTGCCAGGTGAGGTTGTGGAGGTGGATGCTGATGGCAGGGAGAATCAGAAGTGACGCGGCCAGGCAGCCAGGAGCCGCTGGGGCTAACCCAGCTGTATTTTTCCGCAGGAGTAGGTTTTCCATATGTGCTCCGGGTCTTTGCGCAGGAAATTGTTCCGAGGCCAGATTCTGGGTCCGCTTTTGTGTGCAAAAGTCACGTCCGCTTGTGCGTGGCCTCCTCGGTGCCCGTTTCTATTATGTTGATCACTTCCGCAAGAAAGCTGCCTGTGGGGGGTCGTTGTTCTTTAAAAAAAAAATCTCCACGCTAGGAGCTTGCCTGTGGGTCAGAGTTGCTGTAGCGTCGCAATCTGGGGAGCGCAGGGGCTCGAAAAATGCAGATTTAGCGACACCAAAATTGGGGCCGCCAGGCGGCCCCAATTTTGGGGTCGCAGTTCCAGCCTTTTCATGTATTTACACATTATAATAAGGGAAGCTGGGTGCATTTCGTGGCCCCATTTTTGGGGCCGCGAGACGGCCCCATTTTTGGGGTCGCAAGTTTGAGCCCTGGGCTCACGCCGCTGGCAGCGTGCCTGCGCCTGCCCTTGTTCCAGGAGCCTTGGGGAGCAGCGTGCAGAACATAAGCTTGGGGATCAGGGGCTTGTCCGAAGCAGCTGCTTGCTTTTGTAATGCTGCAGCAGAAAGGGAGCTGCAACTGTGGAGGCCACTTTCATGCGGTTGTCTTTTAGCTTGTGTTTAGCAGCCCTAAATGTTGTTCCTTGTTTACAGGAGATTTCGGAGATTTGCGTTGTTTTGCGTTTGTTTGCTATTTTTGCAATGTACTTTTGCTTTTGTTTGCACGTAGACCTGTTTTGCTGGATTTTGTGCCGGATTGTTTTTTCAAGGTGCCTTGAGATCTGCAAGACTCTCAGAGACTTTTGCTAATTTTTGCGCCTACGGGCCATGTGTCTTCAACAGATTGCATCTGAGCCGCTGCTCGCTGAGCGCTCTCTTGCCTCAAGCAGCTCCTAGGCCACAGCTAGCGTACTTGCGCCATGTCTGCCACGTCGGAGCCTGATTTGTTGGCCGAAAAAAGTGCCCAGACATAGTCCGTAGGGTCCATGTTTGTGCTTCCAAGGTGTCGCAAGCCCTTCGCAACTCGCTCAGCGAAGTACTCAGTGGAGGAGGTTGCCGAGGTCTTCAAGGCCGATTTTTGGCGATGCGAGAGGCTTCACATTCGTTGCGGGGCGCAGGCGCGGCCGGCCGGTGCGCGGCCGGAGGTGTCCAAGCTCATCCGTGCGCTGCTTGGTGGCCTAGCTGTGTATGGTTGTAGCAACAGCCATGCGCGGGGTCAAAGCTTTGGGTGCAAGAAACCAGTCATGCCTTCAGTCAGGTCCTTGGGTTGAGTCTGATATGAACCCTGAGGCAGGAAGTCAGTCTTGTTCTATAGCAAGTTGTGACGTGGACGGTGAAGCCAGGCAGACGTGGACTGTATTCCTTTTTCTGAACCCGATTGGTGAAAGACCAATGTGTACCTTGACGTTCTGCCTGAAGGTGCGAAGTGCTTCTTAGACGGTCAGCGACCATTGATTCGTATGGCAGGCATGCCCCAGCTTCGGCGCTCCGGTTGAAACAGGTCCTCGCCAGAAGCAGAAGAACACCTCTTGCGTCCTTCACCCTTTAGGGGACGACCGGTAGTATAGTACTGACATTGGCGTGCGGTGATTGGGTGGCGGGTTTCCTGCACCTGTCCTTTAATAACTTTGTAAATTGCCAAAGGGTGAATCCAGTCCTGATAAAGGGGTTTCCGCAGGGTTTCCGTTCATGTTTGTTAAGCTTCTGGAGGGTTTCCCTGGGTTTCCCTACAGTTTCGCGAGGGTTTCTGCGGGGTTTCTGAGGGTTTCCGTGGGTTTCCTTAGATTTCGTGCATGTGTTAAAACCTATTGGATGGTTTTGGTAGGTTCCTCAAGGGTTTCGTGAGGGTTTCCGTGGGATTTCGTGCAGTTTTTGAACTTTCCGGAGGTTTTCCTTGAATTTCTCTAAAGTTTTGTGAGGGTTTCCGCGGATGTCCGTGGGTTTTGTCAAGTTTTGCCTTGGTTTTTTAAAAGCTTTCAGATGGTTTCCCTGGGGTTTTCTAAGGTTTGCGGGGTTTCAGTGGGTTTTGTTAGATTTTGCGTAGGTTTTTGAAGCTCTCGGAAGGTTTTTCTAATGTCTTGTGAAGGTTACCGTGGGTTTTCCATGGTTTTTGACAGCTTTGAAGGGGTTTCCGTGGGTTTCTTAGGGCTGTGTGAGGGTTTCCGCGGGGTTTCTGTGGGTTTTCTTATATAGGTCGTGCGCAGGTCTTTGAAGCTTCCAGTTCAGCTTTGTGAGGGTTCCTGCAAAATCTCCGCGGGGTTTCGATTGGTTTTCTCATGCTTTGCACGGCTTTGGAAAAAGATGTTAGAAGCTTCAGCGAGGGTTTCCATGAGCTTCCATGGCACCATGGATTTCCTCAGCGTTACTTCAAACTTTGGAATTTGTCACATGATGCGGTCGGCGCTCGTCCAGATAGGCAAGATGCAAGCGGCGCAGTGTGTCGTGCGGCTTTGCAGCGCTGCCAGGTGAGGTTGTGGAGGTGGATGCTGATGGCAGGGAGAATCAGAAGTGACGCGGCCAGGCAGCCAGGAGCCGCTGGGGCTAACCCAGCTGTATTTTTCCGCAGGAGTAGGTTTTCCATATGTGCTCCGGGTCTTTGCGCAGGAAATTGTTCCGAGGCCAGATTCTGGGTCCGCTTTTGTGTGCAAAAGTCACGTCCGCTTGTGCGTGGCCTCCTCGGTGCCCGTTTCTATTATGTTGATCACTTCCGCAAGAAAGCTGCCTGTGGGGGGTCGTTGTTCTTTAAAAAAAAAATCTCCACGCTAGGAGCTTGCCTGTGGGTCAGAGTTGCTGTAGCGTCGCAATCTGGGGAGCGCAGGGGCTCGAAAAATGCAGATTTAGCGACACCAAAATTGGGGCCGCCAGGCGGCCCCAATTTTGGGGTCGCAGTTCCAGCCTTTTCATGTATTTACACATTATAATAAGGGAAGCTGGGTGCATTTCGTGGCCCCATTTTTGGGGCCGCGAGACGGCCCCATTTTTGGGGTCGCAAGTTTGAGCCCTGGGCTCACGCCGCTGGCAGCGTGCCTGCGCCTGCCCTTGTTCCAGGAGCCTTGGGGAGCAGCGTGCAGAACATAAGCTTGGGGATCAGGGGCTTGTCCGAAGCAGCTGCTTGCTTTTGTAATGCTGCAGCAGAAAGGGAGCTGCAACGGTGCCCGTTTCTATTATGTTGATCACTTCCGCAAGAAAGCTGCCTGTGGGGGGTCGTTGTTCTTTAAAAAAAAAATCTCCACGCTAGGAGCTTGCCTGTGGGTCAGAGTTGCTGTAGCGTCGCAATCTGGGGAGCGCAGGGGCTCGAAAAATGCAGATTTAGCGACACCAAAATTGGGGCCGCCAGGCGGCCCCAATTTTG